TGACGTTCAAAAAGAGCATAGTATGTTCTTGGTCACGTACTTGCTAAAATCATTATACGATAATTTAGTCTCGTCTTCACTCTCCCGTTTCATTCTAGGTGTTCAAAATCTTAAAACTAACATTAATACACGCTCTCAGTGTTCCTTTCCATTCTATTCAGTTTAATTTCATTATTTTAATGTAAATATTACACAATTACGATTTAGATTTTCTATCACCTGATGTTAATCACAACAAAATAGAATGAAAAGAAAAAAAAATAATAGCAACTAAAAGAAATTATCCTTTTAATTTACTTTTTATTGCCTCTTTATAATGAATGATTTTTATTTTCTTTTGCCTTTTTAAAAATTTTTTATTGACCTTCACACCAAAAACAGGAAGAAAATATTGAAATATCATTATATTAGCTGCACCCTTACAAAATAGATTGTAGGTTTAAATAACAAGAAAACACAAACAAAAAAAAAATAAAAAACAAACGCCTACAATAATATTATCCTTCATGAAAAAGGATATTGCTAACGATATCAATATTGTTGTAATTATGAGACTGGACTATTATAATAATTTATAAATTTTTTCTTTTTCTTTTTAATTTTTTGCATATTTTCCTCTTTTTCCTTCATAAATGAATAATGGAATTTAAAAAAAATTGTAAAAAAAAATAAAAAATCAAATCTAGCGATATTGATTAACGGTTCTTAAAAATACTGTTTCGTATTTGATTTAAATATTTTTTTCTAAGTACATAAATTTGTTCTCTCTTACAGTGTGAAATAGCGATATAGACAATATGATTGTGTTGTGCTTATTATTATGTATGTAAGTATGTATTTATTTATTTATGTGAATGTGCAGGTAGATTTTATTTATATTACAGTTTGTACGTAAACTCTTGAGTTAGAATTAAATAAGAAAAAAAAAATTCTATTTCCGAAGGCTGACGTCAAAATATTGTTCTTTTTTTCGATTAGTTTTATATTTTGGCATACCAAATTTATATAAATAATATTTATTCCGTTCCGTTACATACGTACATTATATTGTATATACGTAATGTGATAGGAAATATAAAATCAAAATATAAAAGTGCTTAAATTATTTCTAAATAAAATATGAAATACGTAACAGCTAAAAAGTAAATTTCTTCGGAAATAAAAGTGTGTATAATTTGCAAAAAAAAAAAACAAAAACTCAAACGTAGACCTTTTTACATTTTATGAAATTTGGAATTTATTCGATTATATTTTTAATGTTTGATTTGTTGTGATTGAATGTTGTGTTTAACATTTCTATAGTATAGAAGCCCATACTAATGTCCTCTGTATCGTTCAGAGGACATTAGTATGGGCATAAATCTGTATCTGTAACAGACTCGAAGGTGGACACGGATGTGTACGCAGTCTGGTGAGACACATGGAGTGCGAGAAGCGGGAGTATTGCTCGGTCTTTCAAGCTGAAATACACGAAATAGGGATCTGCCTGAAAGTGAATTTAAAAAGAGAATTTTTCTTTGCCCATATCTGCAGTAATCTACAAGAACAGTGCCGAACAATGTATACGGTTTAAGACTTCATTAACATTTTTTGGAATTCATACAAAACTAGTCTTTCAGATTAAAACGACATTTAAGCAACAGTTTCGTAAAGAAATGAGGTTTTTGTCTTTTTGAAGGTTTTAACTTATTTAAGTATGTTTTATACTTAAACTTGAAGTTCTATTTTGACTGTATTACCGTTACACATTATTCATTAAATTATTGTTCAAGTTATTGGACATATCATGTAATTTTCTTTAAAATTTTGCATCAGTTATAGTTTAAGTTTTCAAATTAAGACACTATTAATAAATATGAAGATCTCTTTAGAATTTTTGGTGCGGAAGTGTTAAGAGAGTTCTTGTATTTTTAAAAATTACACTAACAAATTTTCTGCGCAATATAATTTAGTTGGCCGTATGATATATTTAAATATAGAATAATAAAAAATTTAATGAGAATTTTATTAACCAGGATATTAGGGATTAATGTGAAAAATTAAAAAAAAAACAAGAAAAAAAAATAGACCAAGAAAATTCTGCTACTAAATGATTTATTGCTTCCATAATATTGAAAAATCGTTAAAATTTTTACTTATAAAATACCTTAGGCACTTTGTAAAAAACAAAGTGCATATAAATTTCATTCCGTTCGTTGGTTTTTTTGCTCGTCTGATCGTTTTTTGTTCGAGTCTGTTCATAAAAATTGAATCTTATTTGTAAAATGTTTTGTAATCTTACAGGAGGGAACCTTTTCCGCTTCTAAATGTAAAATCGCTAAATTCAGATGAAAATTTGAGTTTTGGTAATTGGCTGTTTTAAAATCGAACATAACTTTTGAATTTTTCAAAGGTGGAAACGTACTATATAAAGTATTTCCCAGCCAGATATCCAGAGCATCGAAACTTAGATCCGGTCCTGTGTAAAATGGGTTCCTGTGTTAATAGGTAGCGAACCTCGGTTAATATCAAAATCCGCCAGCGAGAATTTGCAAGTATTTTTCAATAGATGCCTCAGAATAATATGTCTAATATTCTGTGCAACAAACAACGCAGGCCAAGATCGAAGTCTATCGGTAGATAAATAAGATAGATTGGACACGCTCTAAGACAACCCGCCAATAATATCACTGGAACGGACTTAGAGTGGAACCAAAGCAAAAAAAAGAATTAGGAAGAGATGTCAAGTGCAATGCTCTAAAGATGATTAAGGGAGGGAACAAAATAAAGTGTTAAGCTTTTCCTCAAATTAACAAAATGAAAAGTGCTGTTTTACAAAACATTTGGTGTGATCGAACTTGCATTTTTAATATTTTATTTTCGACATTATTTTAATTTTACGGTTGGTGGACTATAATAGCCGATACAAAATTTTTATAAGCAATTATTTGACCTTGTCCTTGGTGAAAATTCATGAATCAAAAAACTTACAAAATAAAAAAGGAAAAAAACTCTTTTCATCGCAAAAAGTAAATGGAAAACAAAAACACAAAACCAAAACACAATAACAACAAATAAAATAGCAACAAAAGACAACTAAAAGAAAAACAACACCAACGATAATAATAATTATACCCACACGTGAAAAAACGAAAAAAGTTTTCATTGTAAAAAATTTCAATATGCACTGCAATTCAGAACATTCGCACACACATGGGTATAAAATGAACGTATAACAATTTTACAAACCAACGTAGAAAATATTTTGTAAATTTATTTTTCTTTTGTTTTTTAGTGAAATTTATGAATAATATTATTAAAATAATTCATTTTGAATATTTTATGTAAAATAAAAACATTTAAATTTTACTATACGTATAACCAGGAATTACTGCGCAGCAGAAATTACACAAAAAAACAGAATAATGATAGTAAATTGCATACCTATGACAAACAACTAAGAAATAATTTACAACTAAAATAATGGAATATCAGACACAGGAACTTTGGCTTATGATGGGCATGTATATTTTAAATTAACGAGTCTGAATGGTATGACTAATAAATTAATAATATGCAAATAATATGGTTTTGGTTTACAGGAAATCATGCATACAAATCTGAACAAATTTTCAAAATTCAAAGATCTATATAAATTTTTGAAATTAATCTATTATTGATTTCTTTTAAAGTGTAATTGTAAAATAATTGAAATAACTTTCCTGCAATGGTCGGCAATATTTTATTTTACATTCTTATTACAGGAGCAGGCTTATATCGCAATATGGCGTTATTTATATAAACAACGTGTAATAAATCCTAAATCTCTGTACTTTAAGTAAATTGTAGGTGATTTGTTTTGTTTATTAGCCGGGTCTCTTGGAAGCAATTGCAACTCCCATGTAAGCAAATGGAAATAATAATTATTAAAAATTTTTAACATATTACACTTTATTTATGGCGTTAATGAGGAAAAATATCACTTAGAATTTGAATGTTTTCATAATGTACAAAAGTAGTGATTTTCTTCCAACGTATACAAAGAATATTCAAATGAGACTTGCAGAATGAATTTTAAGCCATTCCAAGTACCTGCATTTACATTTTTAGTACAAACTGCAATTTTTCTAAAAAGTTTACTAAATGTTACCAAGGAAAATTATTTGATGCTACCTGGAATAATTATTCAAAGGTATAAACTTGTGTAATTGAAATTGTATTTTGAGAATAATTTATATTTGTTATCCAATTTTAGGATATTTCTCATTACAGACAAATGATAATTAATATTCATAATTAAAATCGCAATGTATTTTCATTACAATAAGAAAGTGTTAAAAACTAATTGTCCGCAATTAACATTAGCGAAAAATTAGCATGTATTATGGTATACAATTAAAGATATCGTGCCACATGATTCTACAAAAGTATCAAATCTTTTTTATAGTCAATAGAAACACATTATGACTCTTTCGTATAAAGCTACTTATAAAATACAATTGTGTAAAAATTTAATATTGCATGTATACTTTTTATTTTTATCTAAAATCTCCTCTTTAATCGAGCGAAAGTGACAAGAATTTTATATTATTTTAAATACTGGTATATAAAGATAACTTTACAAAAAATTTATAGAAATTTCTTGCTCTTCCTGTTCCTATAAATATACTCCTATTTTGTTCTTACTAACCGACTCTTGAAAGTTATTTCTGTATTTAAAAAAGTCTGGCTTCGTTCCTAAGTCTTTTGATAAAATGCCCTGAACTGACAATGATCAATTTCAAAGTTTTGTGAAATTAGTTTTAGCCATTCTGATTTCCTTTGACGAAATTCAGTTTTTGTTTTAAAATAGTTAAATTGTTTGTGGAAAATGTTATGCTCTTGTTAAATTTTGTCGATAACAAAAATTATTTACCGTGGTAGCTTAACGTTGATGAGTCAGACCCGTAATTGATAAATGTATATATTATATGAAATTATATCGAAAATAAAAAATGAAAATAAAAGGGTGATCAACATACCTGTACCGAATGATCCAAATTGTTAACTATTCTAATTACACGACCAGCGCTACGTTTAATAGAGCCAGTCGTTGATGATAATGTACCTAAATCAGCTTCCATAATCGATGGTTTACGACTAGCTGGTTTTGATCCCCATCCTTGATTACCAGGTGATGCATACCACATACCGTTCTTTTTTCCGTAACTGGCAGGCTAAATTATATAAAAAATATTTAAATATAAGTTTCCAAAAATTTTCTTATTTATATTTAATTATTTTAATTAATTAACAATGTAAAGAATTCAAATCGTTGAGACTTGAAGAATTATTTTGCTCTTTAATGCTAATTGAAAAGTTTTAGTTTTTTGTTTTTACAATAAATTTTATTTAATAAAATAAAGTAAAAAAAATTCAATAAAACAAAAACATAAATACCCAAGTTGTCGTAAATGTTGGTGACGATAACACCAAAAATGGTGATTCTTCGTCACTATCAAGCATTTGAAAACTATAATAATAGTATGAATCTATGGTGGAGATTTGGTAAAATACAATAATCTTTCCACTTAAAAATTAAATTTTTTTATTCTTTTGACACTATAATTTATTAATTTTCTCTTTGCTTTTTTAATAAAAATATTTTTCTTATGAAATTCACGACCTATACAGTGAAATTATCCTGTCATCACCAAAAAAAAACAAAAACCACCATTAAATCACAAAATATTTTTTTAAATCAATTTCTTTTTTTTTGCATTTTATTCTTAAATCACAACAATATTATTGCATTGCAATGGAATGTTAATAATTTCGTTCAATAATAATAACAATAATAACAACAATGAAAAAAATTCACTTTAAAGGACAATTACAAACTATATATAATATGGAGTTTGTATGAATTTGTAACTATTCATAATATTTTTCAATACATAACGTATGTGTATCTTTTTAAATTATGCTTATATACAAATTGCATATGATATTTTATTTACATTATATAAATCTATAAATTTTTATTCCTTCATTTTTTTTTATAGAAGAAACCAACAAAAATGCACATGAATACTTCAAAATCACTTTGTAATATTAAATATTTTGTCTATGTGTATATAATTGTGTCCTAGAAATCCTTTTTCCTCCGTACTAAACATATACATTTATGTATGTAAGAATGTATTTAAATACTTGAATATCTAGTCTGTAATATAAAATAATTATTATAAAAAAAGTTTTTGTTTTTATTTCTGAAATTTTTTCTTCCTCTTCAATTTTTAATAAAATGAAATAAAAACCAAAAAGAAGAACATCAAAAAAAGACCCGAGTATAACGATATTTTTAATTCCCGATAGCTTCCCGATCCGTCCGAAAAAATCATTTTATACTAAAATTCTATTTTCCTTCCTTTTTCTACTTTTATTTTTCTTCTTCTTCTTTTTATTGTTTTTAAATTTTATTACTTTCCGTCCCGTTATCTTCAATGTGTACAGCTATTAAATGGAGGAAAAACCAGGGAAAAAGTATTTTTTTGTTTGATGCACTTTTTAATTTTTTTTTTGTGTTATTTTACCATGCCTATTGTAAAGTATAAATGTTTTGATATAAAAGTATAAAATGTTCTTTTTATTTTTTTTTTTTTTGGAAAACTTATGAGAGTACAATCGAAGTTCGCGGAATTAATTTCGGTTTATAACAGTTTTAAAGTGCAATGTTAAAAAATTTTAGCAAAAAAACAAGAGGTCCTGTATACTCTTTATATTACTTTCTTAATACACCGTCTTAGTGTGACTGACAAAATTTGTTTCGTTTTCACTTTTTTCTTTAGGAAAAATAAAATAAAACCAAAAAAAAAAAATAGAAAAAGGAAAACAAAACAAATCAAAACTATAACAATAAAGTTGAGAGGAACGAAAACTTAAAAAAAATATCGCAAAAAAGGAAAAAAGAACAACAAGGAAAAAATTTATAGTTGATCGTAACGGTATAGAAAACGAGAAAAAAAATAGAGTTGACCTTGTCAACTCTGTGATACCCGTACGAATTTGTTATCCTATGTGCGAATAACTAATGTGCCATAACTAACTATGGGGCAGACTATGACTTTAAGTTGCCGTATTACCATATTAATTTATGCAAAATTTCAGTACTATGTGTTATTCAAAATACTGGTTGTGCCAAACTACTATTGATGTTGTATGGCAGCTACCAGAAAGAGCCAAGAAATTTTAGCGAATTTTATCAAGCACATCGGCCCTACTAATATATTCACTTGTGTGAAATCTCAATATCACAGCTTTTATAGTTTCTGAGTTATAGTCAAATAACTTTTGAAAATGTATGGCAGGTACCAGAAGGAGCCAAGTAATTTCAACGGCTTTTATGAGACACATTGGCCCTACTAATTTATTCGTTTGTGTGAAATTTCAATACCATAGCTTTAATAGCTTCTGAAATATAGTCAAATAACTTTTGAAGTTGTATGGCAGGTACCAGAAGGAGCCAAGTAATTTCAATGACTTTTATGTGACACATTGGCCCTACTAATATATTCGTTTGTGTGAAATTTCAATACCATAGCTTTAATAGTTTCTGAAATATAGTCAAATAACTTTTGAAGTTGTATGGCAGGTACCAGAAGGAGCCAAGTAATTTCAATGACTTTTATGTGACACATTGGCCCTACTAATATATTCGTTTGTGTGAAATTTCAATACCATAACTTTTATAGTTTCTGAGATATAGCCAAATAAATTTTGAAGTTGTATGGCAGCTACCCGAACCGGTACCCCGATCATGTCCAATTTAAATAGGGTTCTGGCACTTACTACAATAAATCATTTGTGAAAATTTGGTGAACTTAGCTCAATTAGTTTTTGAGTTATCGTTCGGACGGACGGACGGACGGACGGACGGACGGACGGACGGACGGACGGACGGACAGACAAAGCTAAATCAACTCAGAATTTGACGCTGATCAAAAACATACACTTGAGTCTATATCTAACACCGTTATTTCTTAGCGTTACAAACGGTAAGGCAAATTTAGTATACCCTTCGAACATACGTTCGTACGGGTATAAAAAGAGCATTTTGTTTTCTTCTTCTTTTTGTTTTTACTTTGAAATCCTGTGTAAGAAATTTCTGAATTTGTAAATTTATAACCCGTTAATATTGAATATATACGAATAAATTCATTTTCTTTTTCATTATTCATTTCTGGCTTTCCATTTTTCCCGCCATGCGGCTAAAATTCTCTCTTTCTCTATTTACTATAAAGTGAAAACTCTACGTGTATACTCGTATAACAATATAACAAAAATAACAGCAACCGCAATAATAATGTTAAAAATGTAAGATTATAAAGAGAGAAAGAAAGAGGGAGAGAGAGAGAGAGAGGTTATACTAGTTTTATGCAAAGTACTTATTTAAAGTGCCCAATTATTCGATAAATGCTTTAATTCTTATACTGACTAACACATACTTGTGTATGCAAAAGTAAATATTCATATTTTCTATATTTTTTTAATTTTTATTATTTTAGTCCTTTTTTCCACATTTTAAATGTATGTAAATATTTAGGTATATGCGGTATTGTTTTCATTATTTTATATATTATTAAAATGTTTCGGTATATTATTTCTCCGGTTTTAAACATGAACATGCATACATATACGAGTATGAAATATAGGTACATAAATACTCCATTGGTTCCTAAAGTTACCTAAATACATTGTATACCTATTTTTTTCCCCATATCACTTGTATTTTTTTAACGATTTTACCACTTCAAAAAATTTTTTTCTCTTTATTGAATCCAATTATTTATTGAAAGTGATATTATTTGAAAGTCTACAAATGGGGGCCGGGTATAATATGGTAGTCAATTTCTTTACTTGTTCTTTTTAACTTGGTTTTAATTTCTTTCTTTGTTGTGCGATGTGAGGCAATGTAAACCATCATAAAGGTTTATATGGTTGTATGAAGGAGTAAGGTATGGGTGTAGAAAGAGTTGAGGAATATTTTTTGTGCTTTTTTTTTTAATTCATGTTGATTGTTTAATAGCTTTTATAATGGGTGAAATTAAAAGAAAAATAATACAAAAAAAAAAATAAGTCTCGTTCTAATTTAAGCTATTTTTTTTTTGCGACAACGAAATTCTTCCAGAGCAAAGAAGAATAAAGATATTAAGAATTGGAAATTGTGATGTAAGAAGTTTTCAGATTTTAGAAGAATAATACGGACTATTGCGACTTGTCTTAAATTTCGATAGAGATTTAAAAAAATTAACTCGCCTTACAAGATCAAGTTGATCATCAATAATATATTTCACCTTTGGCGTTTGAATATCTTTGAAGTTTTACGAAATCGTGGTGATCCTTTTCCGTCCTGATGATATTTGTTTACTTAACTAATTTAGTTTTATGTAAACTATACGTTATTCTCTTATAAAAACAAAATTTTTACTAGTTTACAACCATTTTCCCAAAAGTTCAAAAAAAAGTCATCAAAGGTAGAAACTAAAAAATTTCAAACAAATTTTTTCTTTTACTAAACATTGTTATAAATTATATATATGTGCATATGTATGTGTAAAAACTTATGCAAATATTCTTAACAATTGTTTTTTTATTTGATTTTAATAAAAAATAAAATAAAAGTAAAGGAACGAAATAAAGAAAGTACAAAAGGAAAAAAATTGAAAGAGCGGATAACATGCCAAATGGTCATAAGCAACTTTCGCGTATAATTTTTGTCTTAATAATTTTCATTAAAAAAGTCTGAAAGCCGTGTACGAGTACGTGTACTAATTACATATGCAAATATGTAAATGAACTGATTATTGATTCAGTGTTTCGTGAACTGTAAGATTATGTGTAGGTATACAATATTGTTAAACTTTTTTTAAGAATTGTTCGTAAAATTTGAAATACCTACATAAATTGATTGCACGGATTGCTTGGGTTGTTGATTTTAGTTGAATTGGTCGTTGAAAAAGCGAAGGTACTTTTTAAAAAAAATTTTAAGAGAAATTTAGTAGCTTTGTTGAAATATTGTTCTTTCAGAAATCAAATTTCTGAAAGTATCTGTAAATTCTTCATATGTCAAAATCTTAATGAAATGCCAATTTATGTAATCATATTGTCAATAAACACAAGTAGCCAAAGCCAAGGTTGACATGGTCCCTCGAAGGGTACACTTAGGCCATTTAGG